CAAGCACCGGGCAAACATGACGGAAACTCGGGATCACATTTCAAGGCCACGACTATGACTAAAAGTACAAAGCCAGGCAAGCAAAATCAGAGTCGATTTGCTAGCAACTGGGCAGAATCTTGGACCTTGAGCCCGCACATGGAAGCCTGAAGTGCAGCAAAAGGTGCTCTCAACTTGAGTGGAGCCTCCTTTGATACATCAATGTGTACCACCAAAGAGTTTCTGATAAAAGGGGGGGGGAAAAACAGAAAACCAAAAAACGCTCGTGTGGAAAACCAACAACCTTAGCGCTCATACCCTCAGTGCAAAAACCGCTCCGAAAGTATGTTGAATTTGCGCTCGTTTGCGCCTGCTTGCACTCATGCTGCACTTTGTTGCAGTTGTTTTGCACTTTGTCTCCCCCGTTTCGGGGGCGAAGTTGTGCTTCCTGCGCCAGAATATGGCTACAAAGCGCTTGAGGGCCAAAACAAGGCAAAAAGAAACCAAACTCTCGAAAAATCTATCGAACATGCGGAGAGGCGCCGAGGATGCCTTCGGCTCCAAAGCTTCCGGGAAAAAAACAAAACAAAAACAGAGTACAAACAAGTTGCATGAAAGCTGCGCCAGAAACCAAGTGGCTTGTGGTCTTGCCGTGCCATGTAACTCATTATGATTCACTGACAGGGAAGGTGAAGACTACCAACTCCCACCCGCAACGACCCACACGAAAGAAACCCTTGGGTTTTGGTCGCCCACCCTGGGTCACTGCAAGTCGGCCTTTCGAAGAGGTCTCATGTGCTGAGGCTTGATCGCAAAAGTCTTTAAATACTGTTTGAATGTTGATTTATCAAATTATGTGTTTTAATTGCTTTTTATCATCGGATTCACAGCAAAAACCCTCCCATTTTCAACCGCACGCCCCGCAATGCCGCAACACCCAACTCCGCACCCGCAACGCAGCTGCCGCTGCCATAGGCCGCTGGTGGGGTGCGACTAGCAGCCGAAGCCTGAAGTCGACGCACCGCAAATCATGGCGGTGGGAAATAATTATTTCTGCGATGCTGAAAAGGACCCTGTAAGCTCCTTACAAGCTTCCTAAGGCTCCATATAAGGCTCCATACTCTGGAATCCCTGCACACTCTCCCACTTTGAAGGCTACCAAGAATTGCTAATTCCTTGAACAACTCACACAGGTTGGAAATCAGATCTACCATTGTACCTCCTGATTCATTGCCGTATCGTCGACGTACGTGGCGGCGCGTGTGGAAACCAAGGCCACTCCAATATCGCGCATGGTAATCTCCAATGGCAAATGCCCCTGAAACGAAACACCGGGAGTAGGCATAAAACGCGGTGCCGCGCATCCCACGTTTTGTCAAACGACAAGCCCGAGTAGCCTCGACTGCGCTGGCCAAAACCTTCCCGAACCGGGCAGGAAACCTCCCGGAGCAGCAGGCCTGCCCCAAGCCTGTGAGCCCTGCGACTGGCAAAAAAAAAAAACGAAGGCAAGAAGGACACCACTGCTCAATGCTTTCACAGCGGCAAACACCCCCTGTGAAAACATCTGCCACCTAGACTGCAGCGTTCTCTAGTCTCCTTGAAATTGGCCCAAGCTGAGATTGCTGAAGCAACACATGGACAAGGATAAATTAGTTGGGCCCCACGTGCATCCCAATGGACCAACGCCAACCAATCATTTCGCGCACTGCTCACATGTGCCTACTCAATGTCCCCACAACTAAGAACGGATTTTGGTGAGCAACGCAAGGTACGTGCAAGCCATAACCCTGCGCTGTAAATGGCGTTGAATTTGTTAGTTGTTCAAAGTCTGCGTTCGAACCAGGAGAACTCCAGCAGTCCTGCGCCCGCCCTTTCGGACCATTTCGTTGGCACGGTTTGCAAGGCCTTGCAATGCCTGTGGCTGTACGCAGGCTTGCAAAGCTCGCTCTAATTGCGCGCGACGCATGCTAAGCTCACAGGGCGCGCAGAAACAAACACATCTACCGGAAGGAAGTTGTTCTAACACCATCCAAGATTTACAACGCTGCAGGGCCAAATACGGCCTGCTCGGCTCTGATCAAACCAAAATACCTGCAGCCAACGTCAGTTCCATTGGACAACATCACCAACCTCTTTTCACGCGCGTTTCAAGTCTGCGCGCGTTTCTACCAGGTGATCATGGCGGACCCACCCCAAGGTCCGTTGGCAGCCCTGCAAGGCTCTTGGGCCACCAATTCACCAGCCTCAAATAAGGGATGCCTTCATAAGGGATCCCTTCATGACAGTTCTAAGCCAACACTGTAGGATTCTAAAATTCGCGACTTTTGCGTGCCTACTGCAAGCCATGATGTAGCTGCAAGTGAACATGTCACTAGCATCTAAGCAGTCAGGCCCGTGTCATGTTCATGGCAGAATCCCCCCTCACAATAGCTCACCGGTTAGCTTCACACATGCTCGACCATTGCAACATATACAACAACTCCAAACCCTGATGAGATGCCACAAATGTTGATGAGCTTGTGCTCCTTCAAGAAAGCAATAACCGGTACGCATTTAGATCTTGCCGTGCCAATTCACAACTTCCCCTTTCTGTGCACAGAAAGTGCTAACCTTTTCTCAGTTGGTCAGCTGTCGGCGTATTGAATCATCAAGTATCCTGTTCCTGAACCAAACAAAATGGGAGCCCTCCAAACGGTCTCTTGAAAACACTCCCCAAACCTTTCCCTGTTGACACACCAGCTGCCCACACCGATGAGCTTGCTGCATCTAGCACGCCGTGTTGGCTTTGACCACATCTATGACGAGGCACAGCAAACTTGGCGAATCTCCGTGCCGAGCAGTGGTGAGCGGAGAAGGCAAAATCAAAACTTGCGAAAACTCAGCCATCGTACAAGAAGCATTGTTTGATCTCAACTCAGCATTGATTAATTTCCATTACCCACGCGGCACGTGGTGGGGCTTTGAAATGGACGGCCTGCAATGCTGCACACAAAAGTAGCCCAGAACCTTCCACTACTTGTAGAACATTCGGCCAGTGCTCCAAATAGGTTGAGCTTGGTTCGCGTGCCAGCACTCGTACCCTGCTTTACTCGAATGTGTTAACGCGTCATGTAACAAACATGACCAGCTGCATGGGTGGCTTCCGCCTCACTCTTACATGGGACCTCGCGCTGGACCTGCCGCAATGCTGGTAGCTGGCATCATGGAGGGGCGTACTGGGACATTCTATGGGGGTGGTTTAGCTGTGGATGTCGCCAAAACCGGACTTCCAGTGTCGAAACAAGTGTACTTCTAATGAACATTCAGCATAAGTTTCATCCGTTGACAGACTAATCAAGGCAAAGCTTTATGTCGGTGGACAAAGGATCGAAATATGTCAGTCTCAATACTGCACAGTTCCTACACATTTCCACGATCTGGGTGCATAGGAACAATTGTGAGTCAACACTGCCCTCTCCAACTTGTATGCATCCTGTTGTATCCCTTTTCAAACCATCCTTCACGTGACACACAGGCATGTGGGAGACATGCAAAAGGCATATTTGTCTTGCTCGCAAAGCTTCCTATCTCCGGGCTCAGTTCAATCAGTGGAAATTCCCAATCTCGTCACGGAGAATCGTCAGCCAGCGAGAACGTCTGGCACTTTGGCGGTTCATACGCTGGCTGGTGGCATCTCGGAGCCTCATATGTTGGCTCCTGCGCAGGCTTCCCGGCTTCCCACACAAGCAGAGTAAGCAAAATTGGGCAAAGCCATGCGGAACAAGGACAACCCAAATTCCGAACCCTTGCAACTTGACTTCCCACAGTACCTGGAACCTTTCAGACCCTTAGTCACTCTTTAGCGAAAAGTCAATGACACTATCTTCAAAGGGCCCCGGAGATTCCCGTCGACCGGAGACATTGCAACAAGTAAGCCACGGTTTCCGTGTCTCCCCCCAACGACATCGGATTCTGGTCGGAAACCCGATGTTCTAATCGGGTGATCGCCTTTTACGTTACATCATGATCACAAGTATTGGATGTGCTTTGCCCAGAACTGACTAATTGAAAACCAATCTGCTAGACACCTCAAGATGCAAACAAAAAGGAATGGTGTTTTTGCATCAATTCGCGACCTGGCCAGAAAACCAAAGAACCGGAGGGGACGGAACCCACATTTCACAGCACTGACTTTTGTGTATCCTCATTTCTCATGCAAAACATGCAAAGGAGGGTTCCCCAATGCCAACCATTTCGGCTAGACCCTCTCGGGCCAGGCATTAGCATGCCGCCTTTTTCCAGTCCCCAGAACGACCATACGGCACACGGAGACCTGTCAGGTTGCTATTTCCATGCCGGAGGCTCCTGCTGCAGAATTGCTTTGGACCACATCCTGGCGAATGGTCTCAGGGCAGGCCCGCGGGGGTGGGGGATAGGCAGGGGGTTGGGAAGAGGCTTGCGAACCGCCGACCTGAATTATATGTATATACATATTTAACACGGATTTACATGCAGACTACATATATACTAATATATACTTATATATTGTGTGTTTGCATATCTATAGGACATATCAGATGTGTGTATATATATATATAATATATATATATATATGGGTGAATTATTATATTTCACCGGCCTGAAATAAGGTGCTTCGGGGGCTATTCCCCACACAAACCACCATTTGGGGTGAGGTCGTGTGAGGTCGCTATAATTCACCCACATATATATATATATATAAACCGTACCTGACATGCATGCAACCAACAGAAGACCACATGTTGTCCTCTTTCGGATCCCGCCAATGGCTCTGCAGAAAGACGGCCAACCCCTTCGGGCCTGAAGCAGCTTTCCATGACAGCGGCCGCGTGATGTCGCTCTGCTACCTGCCAGTCAGCCAAGGTTTGACGCTGATTCGGGGTTCAAAATGACGTCCCGAAATCCACAAGCTATCCGTAATTTTGAAGGAGACGCCGCAAAAAGGGAACCCCCTTCATCCATCTAGCATAAGGATTTAGGATTGACTTTGAACACCTGAGTGAATTTCACTAGGGAACTCATCACAGTGGCCGGTGGAGATAACTCCCAACCTAAATGAGGTTCAAAGGCTGCCCAATTCCCATTCATACTCATACCATGCAAAGGTACCAGTAAAAAATGGTAAAGTGGACAGGGTTCCTTAGGTTCCTTATCAAAAACAGCCCTTGCAAAAAGCAATGGATGATCGAACCAGCCCAAGCCTGAAACGGGACGTCGATGATAGTGTGTGCTTTGGTGATAGAGGTGTGCTGTTGGCTTGTGCCGCCAGGCTGGACAAGGTCGGCAAGAGCCATCTCAGCTCCCTCCGTGAAGAAGCCGAAGCTCGTGCCCGCTCCAAAAGGAAATGTGACTAGCGCAAAGGCGTGGGCTCGGTTCCTGCGAGCCTCCTTGCTCCATCTTTCGCCTCTAAAGGAAGCTCGACCCTGCAGGTCATGTATGGTGCCCATGGCCAATGGATGTGAAACCATCAAACAAGCTGATGTGATTCCATATCGTGGATGGTCTGGGAGTTGGCTGTTGCTGTTGCCTGTTGCCCCTTTCCAAAACATACTGTTGTTGGCTAGCGGGGATACATCGGTCCTAGCCAGGGTTCCTATGTTTCCAGCCAGCAACTCAAAGGTGATGATTCAAACCTCCCCAAAATGTAAAATATCAGTTCAGCGGGTCTTCCCCAAAGGCCAGAAGCAGCATTTGTGGTCCCGAACCACATCAGGACCACCAAAAGGAAAATTAATCTCCGATTCTAAGATGTGTTAGGTGCGCCTGGTGATGTAAACAAATACTAGACGGGAACGGGCTGTATATTTCTTGAACAACTCCGTACCGGGGTCAGTTGTACAGGCACACCAATCGGACGCGGCCCATGTCTACCTCAGCTTTTGCTCCCAAAAACATGTCTTTGACTATGCTTGAAGTTTACTGGACTTGAGGGTACCCCTTGTTTGCTGATTTTGAAGGGAAACCAAACACAAACGAAACCCATCTTGGG